CCAGCACCAGCACCACCAGCACCACCAGCACCACCACCACCACCACCACCACTACTACTCCTGCTGCTGCTACAACTACTACGACTACGACACTACTACTACTACTACTACTACTACTCCTTCTGCTGCTGCTGCTGCTACTACTACTCCTCCTCCTCCTCCTCCTCCTCCTCCTGCTGCTGCTGCTGCTGCTGCTGCTGCTGCTGCCACCTCCACCACTACTGCTGCTGCTGCTGCTGCTGCTGCTGCTACTGCTACTGCTACCGCTACTGCTACTGCTACTGCTACTTCCGCAGCTGCTTCTGCAGCTGCTTCTGCTGCTGCTGCTGCTGCTGCTGCTGTTGCTACTACCACTTCTACTTCTACTGCTGCTGCTGCTGCTTTGACAACTTCTGCTTTCGCAAGGTTGCAGATTTCTTGAACCTTTGCTTCAGGTCGCCCTTGTTTGCGTGCTTTGCCTTATCCTGGAAATGGTCCTGGTGGCCGCGGCGCGCTTCCACTACACCGTAGACATGCTTGTGCCGGCACCCCGGGCCATGTTCACTGCTTTGAATTCGAAGGTGCCCAGAACCGACAACAGCAGTCAACAGCACGGGATTGTCAGTTTGGATCTTTGGCTGATGAGCCGTTTTGCCCGACTCATTCCAAACGCACAGGATAGACAGACGCACCTGAGGTCCGTCATCTTGGTTTGCCTTCTATGGGACAGCATCTGACCAGCAAAGATGGGGTCATGAAATTTAAGGAGGTTCTGAGGTAGTGCTCCTCAACACCATGTTGGCGCCCGGTTGTAAGAGGCGCTCATGGTCAGGATTCTTCAGAAAGTAGCTCGAAGGGCTTCCTCCGCAGCTGCAGTTGCATGAGCTGTTTTTCTTTCGGCTTGCTCGTCCTGAACTTCACACCATACGAAGACTCTGTTTGCCAACGTCACTTGAATGCATTGCCTCGGTGGTAAGGCCTGCGCATGGAGCAGTGGTCCTCGGACCTCTCAGAAGGACTGCATTGGTTCAGCCTCTGTTGTGCTGATGGGCTTGCAAGGAGTTAAGCTGAGGGGGGTGTCAGACTAGGAGCTCATCATTTTTAGCAACCTCGCATTGGGTTCTCGACACCGTTTCCTGGCCTGGCGCACAGCTGCAGGATACAACTGGAGAGACCCGGAGTGGTGCCGGGTCGGACCTTGGTGGAAGCTCTTCAGGCTGCCTTTATGTGCTGACTCGACGGTGGTGTATTGCAAGGAGACAGAACAGCAGATACGTGAAGGCAGCAAGGGTTACATAAATTAAAAAGACAAGCAATACAAGCATAAAGTCAACAAGAAACTATTGCAATGTGCGTATGTATGCCTGCATGCATTCTCGTGCCTGCATACATGCTTACATGCAAGGAGTGTACAAACAGACATACACACCTACATGCATACATGCAACACGCAGAAACGCATGCATGCACATCCATATGTATGTATGTATATATATATATGTATATCGAGTTTGGTAGGCCTGGGTACACATGTATCATTTCTGAGCTGACCATGTACCTATGTGACATTTTGGCTTAAGCCGTCTGCTAGAGCCAAACTGACAGTCGGTACATGCTTTTGCCCGCCCGCCCACCCTGGGACACCGGCCTCCCGTGGAGTCGCCCGTGTCCTAGGATAGTACCTTTCTCTGTAATCAGGTACTCGCGGCTGCATGTGGTTCATGAGTCCTATGCAGGGAGAATCGAGGTCCGCTGATGTGCATCAGATTTATGGACCTTTTACGATCCTGTGGAAGGACCCGGGAGTGACCCGGTGATACCAATGCAAGTACCCCCTGTGTGCTAGGGGCTCTTCACTGGGACAAGACCTGAGGCGACCGCCGTGCTAAAAGAAATGCGGAGCTGTGCGGAGTGAAGCTGCCATGTCCTCTGAGATGCATATATATATATATATATAAAATACATGCAGGCATACTCGTATGTATGCCTCGTTGAAATAAAGACTGAATGTACGCCGGTGCATCTATCTGCATGTACGTGCGTCAGTCAGTAAGTAGTAGGTAGGTAGCTAGCTATCTAGCTGGCTCGCTCGCTGGCTGGCTAGCTGTCTAGCTAGCTAGCTAGCTAGCTAGCTAGCCAGCTAGCAAGCTAGCCAGGTAGGTACGTGAGTAGGTAGGTAGGTAGGTAGGTAGGTAGGTAGGTAGCAGGTAGGTATGCACGCTAACAGAGTCCTGGATGCAAAAAAGGTATGCGTGCATGTATTTACGTGTGAAATAGCAACACATTGTCCTATGATGTTGTGCGGGTATTCTTGCAAACTGCCGTGCAGCTGTTGCAGGCTTGAGACTGCCAGGGCCAAGCCGCGTGATGAGCTACGTCAGGTCACCCGGCAGTTTAACAAAAAAAGGTGTTGGGCCCAGTGGAGAGGTGCATCTCGGGACTCCGTTCGGCGCCGCAGTCGATGGTGCATTATTCTTTTGACTGTACCGGCATGTTCTTGGCAGGATGGCGGCGAGTCCAAAGAGCCCAAAGTCTTGCCGTCACAAGCCACTTTCTTGATCAACCTGCCGCTTTCCCGCGACCAGAACATACGATGTGTCGTGCTGTATGCAAGCACTCTGGGTTTTGGGGCTGCCCAAGGAGGATGCTATCTGGCAAAGCTCCCTGGTCCTTGGACGATGTTGTTTCATCTGGTGCCCAAGAGAGTAACTACACCAACGACCAAGCAGCAAGTCCCACAAGCCAGCAGGCTACACAGGACCGGGACCGCTCGTTTCCAGGTTCAGATGGGGCAGTCCTGGCAAAACCGTCGTTCCTGCAGGACTCATGGCGTTGTGACGAAGGGATACCATTGATTGGAAGCTGCACGTTCAGCAAGTAGGAGTAGTGGGCCTAGTGTATCCGGTCCGCAGGCAGTAGAACGCTTTATGCGGATTTTAGGACTCTGGACTCGGGCGAATGGCGGCGCTAATGCGTTGCCTAGCAGGGCTCAGATGAATTTCTGTTCAGTGCTCCTACAGCCCACTCCCTTCATAGCAACTTGGATCTGGGAGAAATGCAAGCTTCCGAGTCGTGTACAGCCTCCTAACTCTGCTTAGCGTCGCGACATGACGAAGTTATGTTCGCGTTGCTATTGCTATGTGCCTGCACTGAGTTTAGAGTGCAAGTCTCGAACAAGCTTGATATGGCTTGATGCTGCATCCGGACCGATAGAACGGTACAAAGGGTCAAAAAGCTAAGTCTTAGTATGCTTGTATTACACAGCCACCCGCAAAAGAATATATATATATATACACACACACACACACACACACATTTTTAAGATACAGATAACAGCTGGCTGGTCAGGGCAGCTGGAGGCAAAGGATCCTTCCAGTGCCATAGCTAATCACTCATGCAGGACGTAACTGCAGCTCACTGAAGCTTGGGCATGCAGAAAAAGCAGCGAGCAGTGGGAGAGTCAGAAGGCTTCCATGTCCTGCGGGCATGTGGATGCACGGGTATTTCTGCATGCTATGGCATCATCACAACGAGATGCGAAAAGCTTTCCGGTACGGGTCGATCTGACAGGAGCACGGCATGCCGGATGACGATGACCCAGGCTTCGGAATGAAGACTGCTACGTGACCAGCTCAGCTGCGAGTAGCGAGAAACTTGCCATACAGGCGTGGGATTGCCGAGGTTGCGCGATTACCAACGAAAGCACCACGCGGAAGTGACGGCCCTGTCCCAGGCACACGCACTGGAAAGGAGGATTGACGGACCTTGTAGGCCAAGTGGAACATCGAAGTAGGCATGGCGACGCTTCAGAGAAGAAGGAAATGACAAGTCCGTGCTCAACCTGTAGATGCCAGACACTACAATAGACCTTGCGCCGCCATCAGCTTCAGCTGCTGTGAGGTGGTCGAAGCCATCCGAGACATGCAGGCGATCAGGGAAAATGGGGCCAAAGTGACGTGCTAAGTCAAGCTTCGGCCCGTGGTGTCACTGTTGTTCCACTTGTGTTCAACGTTGGTTGTCACGAGCTTGGCTCCGCGTAGCTCATAAACGTTTTAAAAGCGCACCGCAAGGCTCGTAAAGAGTCCTGCGGGCAAAGTCGGTCGAACACAACCGAGCTCCAAGGCCTAATGCGGTGAACCACAGGTGAGCAGTGGTTGCTGTCGACTAGATGCTGTCTGTCTTAATTGTCTTGTTATATACCTCCCGAAGCTTCTGCTTGTATTTGTTCAGCGGAATGGTAGGTAAGTAGGTGGATATATCTGGTGCCTTGGGCCACAGTTCGAGTGGGAACACCAGAGCATGGACAGCTGTGAGGAGACGGCGGCCAAGGCCTCAGGCAACGCTGGTGACATCCAGGCGGGATGTGGCTCTGAGAGCCAACACAATTTAACAACGATGTTTCGTGCTTCAACTTTCAGGTCCTGGCAAGGATGCGGATCAGCATAGGGATTCTTGTAGGACCCCACTGGAAACGACACACTCTCAGGCTACCACATTGGAGCTCCACGCTGTAGGTTGGTTGAATCAGACTTTGCAGAATAGTTTGCAAGAGGGGCACTCCAGGCATCGCGTAAATCCTGCACGCCTGGCACGTGCAGTGCTGAAGTTCTAGCGATATTGCCTTGCGGCATTTGAGGCTTTGGTGTGTCGATTTTTGCTGATTGCTACTGTGTGGGGTCTGGCTCGCATCCTGCATCTAGATGGAGCTGTCTGAGTCGTACCCCTCGTGAGGGAGTCGAAAGCCTCGGGCAATGGAGCCGATACACGACATGCTTGTACATGATTTGTCCGCAAGTCAAGTCAAAAGACAAAAGAGATACCAAGACAAGTCTTATCATACTGCATGTGTGCACAGGTGCGTGGTTGGGTGGAGCTCTTCGTGCCCCACTACCCTTGCTCCAGGCCTGCCGATTCGAGCTTGCAGCTTGAAATCGTGTGGCTGTACTGCACAGATCCACATTTTCGCTGAGATGATATGCGGCCAATCCAAATATCAGGTATATCAATAGTATGATCGTTCCCTTCTGTGTTCTTTTGGCGCTGGTGTGAGCGGCTTCTACTCGTAGATGAGATGCGTACACGGCCCGGCACGTGAGTGGATGCAGCAGGCTTACTAAAGCACCGTGTGTGTGTGTGTGTTTACTTCCCTAGCACACGGAACAGAGGGTACTCCTCTTGCATTGCTCTACAATTTTTACAATTTGCAGGGGGACAGGAGCTCACTTGCCTATCCTGTCCAACGAAGCTATGGCAANNTGGCAAGTCAGTGGATGCGCAGCCTGCTCGGCTGTGTGTACCTGCAAAACAAGCTGGGGCCCTTGTGCCTGCAAGATTAGAAGGCCCCTGTGCCAACATTAGACATTCAGCACACGAGCCGTTACAAGTTTTCGACAGTTTGCAACACCCTGCCCCACCCCACTTTGCTGTCTCGACCTCTTCTCTGGTAGGAGAGTACGAACCCTAGAATCATACCACAAATCAAGCTGCTAGCCCTGGATCCCGTCGCCACAGATCTTGCACTGTCGCTTCTGGGTCCTGTCGTGCCCAGCTGAAGGACAGTTTCTAACCTGCTTTTCCAAGGCTGGACCTGGACCTATCGCGAAAATAGCTGGTCAGCCTTCCCTATCCCTATGTCGCTTTTGGCCCAGCTGAAGGACGGTCCCGACCCTACCCTTAACCCTAAACAATGGTGGATGGGCTATGCGCGGGACTACGCGGCAAGCTCTCCATTAGGGTATTGCAGCCCGCAACGTTTTGTAGTTTAGTTTGGGTGTTCTTAGTCTTCTCGGCCCTGGTGTGGCCTTAATTTCAGCCCTGGCGTGGCTATGATCTTCATGGGTTTAGTTTTGGGGTTTCTAGGTTACAGCCGCCCCAACGCGGGGCTCTGGGAACCCCTGTGCCACCAAGATTAGAAGGGCCCCTGTGCCAAGATTAGACATTCAGTTTAACACCACAGCCGTTACAATTTTTCGACAGTTTGCAACCCCCCGCCCCACCCCACTTTGCTGTCTCGACTTCTTCTCTTTGCCGAAATCCATCAGTGTGTGTTCTTGTGAAACGAGAGCCATCGCGCCGTCAGGAAGACAGAGACATTACCGGGAATAGTCATCGTCAGGCTGACAGGAACGAATGCAGCAGCGACAACAAGACCAGCAGCAATAGCATTGGTTAGAATAGAAACAGTGGTACCACTAACATTGCCAGAGCCAGTGCCAAATAACACAGCACCCAACAAACACAATGCCACAACAACAGTAATCCAGAAAGTTACATGCAGATAGTCCCCACACTATGGAGAAAAGTACCGGGGGACTTGTCAAGCAAGACTTCCTTGAAGCGTTCCGACAAATTGAAACCTGAGATGGGATATGACCCTACGCCTAGGCATTTTCTTGCTCAGTGGCCGGCATGCCTGGGTGGATGTATCACCAGATGTCCTGATTGCAGAAGTAAGGCGCAAGGCAGAGAGAAGCCTTGACACTTACTTGGAGGGCCTCGTCTCACAAGCCGGGGAACCACTGCCGGAGTGGAGCACGGTGCATCTGGCGGACCTGGAGGATGGAGGGAAGCTTTTTGCTCATGTGAAGGCGCGGAAGCTTTTCCCGCTGTCGCAAGGCGTCGCTCTAGTTCGTGAAGACGGGTCGGCCGCTCTTTGGGGCTATGACGGAATTGCGGCGCCGGACCTGCCATGTGGCGTTCGGCAGGTTTCGGGTTCTGAGAGGGCTTTGGCAGCATTGCTCTCTGACGGATCGGTGGTAACGTGGGGTGAGGAGTTCTGTGGAGGTGACAGCAGCGCAGTGCAGCAGCAGCTCCGGAATGTGGTGCATGTGCAGGCAAACTACGCCGCTTTTGCGGCAACCTTGGCAGATGGTCGTGTGGTGAGTTGGGGATGCGTTGGGCATGGTGGGGACTCTGGCGCCGTGCAAGGCGAGCTGCATGACGTCCGACATGTAAGCAGCTCCTTGCGTGCCTTTGCGGCTCTCCGATCTGATGGCTCTGTGGTGACCTGGGGCGATTCTGGGCACGGCGGTGACAGCGTGGCTGTGCAGTCCCGGCTCCGAGATGTTCAGAAGCTATATGCCACATACTCCGATTTTGCGGCGCTGCTGGCAGATGGCACCGTGGTCACATGGGGAGGCAGCTCTTCTTTGCCATCCTTCTCGAATGTACGACACATTTCCACAACAGTCGGAGCTTTTGCTGCCCTGCTGTCGGACGGAACGGTTCGCACTTGGGGCGAGTTAGAGACTGGAGGTGACAGCAGTGCGGTCCAGGAACGCCTTAGGAACGTTTGCATGCTGCATGGGTCAGGTGCAGCCTTTGCTGCTGTTACTGGAGATGGTTCTCTTGTCACCTGGGGGGACGAAAGTTGTGGCGGTGGGAGTGCTAGTGGAGTGCAAGGTGAGGTGCTTGGAGTTCGGTCGTTGTGCGCCACAGCTGGAGCTTTTGCCGCGATTTTGGAGGATGGGTCTGTGGCGACCTGGGGTGATCCAGAGCATGGGGGCGACAGCCGGAAGGTAGAAGAACAACTCCGCGATGTGCTGCAGATCGAGGCATCTTTCAGCTCGTTTGCAGCCTTGTTAGCAGATGGCACGGTCGTGACCTGGGGCCTTGAATCTTACGGTGGCTTTGGGGCCAAACAAGAGGAATTCTGCATTTGCAGAGAGGCTGAATCCTGTGACTACCAGGCCTCGAATGACACCCCCAAAACAGCCTGGACACCATGAACAAATCTAGACTCTGGACACTTTAGACTTTAGACGCTCGACTCGATGAGAGCCTCACTCACCACAGCATGGTCTCCGAGCTCGAGTGAAGAGAGTGAAACGGGCACCTAAAAGCGAGAATACAGGTTTTAGCGGTCAAAGCAAGCCTTCAGGTTTCATTGCGGTGTCCTCGTGTAGCAATTCAACATATTTCCCTGATCAATCTTCGTCAGCGAAGCCATCTTCCGCAGTTGTACTGGGGCGCTGGTCCAGTTTGCTGCCCGACATCCTCAGATATCCGTGGGAAGCTTGGTGGCCAGACATGGCAACGCAAAGCAGCAAGCAGTGTCTTCAGCCCATGTGATGTCCGAGGTGCGTGTCGGCCACGACGACTGGCGGCACTGGCTCAGGAGCCAACACCGTATTTGCAATGCATTGTACGAACATTGGCTAGGCGACAGGACAGAGGCCTGGGTTCTCTCCGGGATCCATGAAACTACAAGCCCAAGCCCTGAGCCTGACCAGGAACCCACAGTTGTGTGGTCTTGTAGCGAGCCTTCTTTAGGTTCTCAGCAGAAGCAGAAGCAGCCTGGATGCAACAATAACAGCAGACGTACGGAAACATGCCTCGCCTGGAGAGCTCAAGTGTGAGTGCCGAAACGCGAAACCGTAAAGTGCGGCGAATCTGCCATCTCTGTGAGTGCTATCCTTGTACCAGGAACCTCGCCAGGCTTGTCCCAGCTGTGAGTGCTGAAAGTCCCAAGTGTCTTGGCATCAGGCGGCTTGACAAGTACTGGGATCCCCATGACGTGCGACTCTCAGCTTTTCCAGCAGTGGAAGTTAACTTATCAGACCCTGGTCAGCCTCCAGGAGCGACATCACCTCCTGTCCATCAACGCGCGCCAGCTCCGCGACCTGGACAAGAACATCGGAGAGGCCCGCTGTTACTGCTGGCTCACTTGATGCTGAGTTCTGCTCGGCGGAAGCTCAACTTGGAGGCAATCCCAGAAAACTATCGCATGGCGTCGAGGGCTTGGCGGGCTTTGCGTGGTCTTCCGGCCCCGCATGGAGAGACCATTGAAGCCCCATATCCTGTGCCACCACCACCATTCAAATGTTATCTAAGACAGGAAGGTGACAAGAACACAGCGTAGCTTACTGCCACACAGCAAAATCACCGTGCAATGCACATTTACATGGCAAGGCCTGGCATAAATATACCGATATACCAGTGTGTGCTTTCTCTGCTACGTGTTCGGCTAGTCAGATGGCTATCTAGCTGGCGACATGGCTTGCTGGCTGGCCAGCCAGATAGGTGGGTGGATAGGTCAGGTAGATGGATGATAAATCATATGGCATATGGATGAATAAATCGATGAAGGCATGCGCTCTGCTTCTTGTCTTGTCTTTTGCCGTCTCTTCCAAGGCTGCGTGGCACACTCGGAGCCACGGGCATCGCTGGCGAAAGGCCTCCCATGGCTGCGCGAGGCCTTCCGAGATGAAGAGCTTTCACCTGCCCCAGAGGCCCCGGGACCATTTAAAGGCGACTATTTAGTGATTGAAACTTAGTGTATGTGGGACCATGTAAATGTATACTCAAAGGCTTTTGAGTTTCCGGCTTGTTCGAGTCCGGAGAAGACTGAGGCAAATGGAGCCACGAGTGTCCAGGTACAGTGAAGGTTAGGTCGCGGTCCGAGGCTGTTGTGGAGAGAGTAGAACCTCGTGAGCTCGGTATCATGGCAGGTTCAATGCCACCACCTGCAGGATATCCTGCTGTTAATGAGGCGCGCCCGCTGTGGCACAGCTGTGGCTAACCATAATCCAGTCGAAGCAACTTTGTTTGGACTCGCTTTCGGTTTTTTCCTGTTGATGTTATATATTTCTTCCCATCCGAGGCCGCGCAGCAAAGTGAAGCGCCGGCCACTGCGCCAGAAGCGCTGCCACCACCGTTAGTCCGTCAAACCTTCTACTGAAGCCGCGCGCTTCTGGCCGAGGGTCCAAAGGAGGGTTGAGCAGCAGTTTGCATACGTTTCTTCCTGGTTGATCCTGCAGCGGGTGATCGAGGCCTGCAGTCTTTTCAGTACCGAAGTTCGAGACATCTGATGTTGCCACTTCAATGAATTCAAGTGTCGAGGCCGGGGTCCTTCCTGCCCAGGACATTGAGCAGGACGGATGCCGTCACAAGACCGCTGCAATTGGAAAGGAGGTGCGCAGGCTGTGCCCACAGCACTTTGGCCCAAGACTTCTAATCACGGCATCAGGGCTCTGCACAGTTCCATGGCGACAGGAATGCAGGAAGTGCTTTGGTCAGACACGTCGAAGAACCCGACGTGCGACGACCAAAGTGACGGCAGTTTGTCCTACCGAAGCTGTGCCAGTGCTTCTAGCAGTGTACTGGAAGGAGGTGCATTGAGTGCAGTTTCAGATGGGGAGGAGTGTCCACAGGCTGCAGCAGTGATTACAGAAAAGGAGATGCAGGACGTTATCGCAGAACTGCAGGAGAAGTGGGGCGAGTGCTGTGGCCTCTATGTACACGGCTCCACAATATTCGCCAACCAGCCGCCGCACGACCTGGACTTGATTGCAGTCATCGACCATGCGAAGCAAGAGGTGCCCCAGGACTCGCCAGACTCGCAGTTCACCCTGGGCCGGTGTGAGGTGTCCGTGTATGAGCGTCGATGCTTCTTTGAGAAGCTGCATGCCATGGACCTGACGATGCTGACCTGTCTTTCCACCCCAAAGCGCTTTGTTCTGAAAGAGCTCCAGGATGAGCGCCTTCGAAGCTTCAAGCTGGACCTGCAACTGCTGGAGGAGTCGGTCACCTCCTACGCAGAATATACCTGGCTGAAGGCCCAGCGTGTCTTGAACGACTGGAAGGATCCCTACAAGTCGAGCAAGAACGCCTACTTCGTCTTTCGCGTGCTGGGGTTCGGCTGCCAGCTTGCGGATCATGGGCGCATTGTGGATCTCAAGGCCGCGAACCATATGTGGGACGTCATCAAGGAGCTCTACCAGGTACTGAACATCCAGCCGCAGGAGGAGGAGACGGCGCAAGCAAGCCTTGGGGTTTTAAGACCATCGACTCGCCAGTTTATGGCAAAAAATAAGCCTTAGCCGGTGTCACATGGAAGCTTCTATATTCGTGTATCATCTGAGCTGGTCCTGATATGTTTTCCTGCGGTGTCTCCTCCTTCGCGGGGTTTGGCTCAATAAAGCAGCGAGCCGCAGGACGTCATCGAGGCCGTCCTGGCCAGGCACTTCAAGGCTTCCGTGGCTCGATTCGAGGCCAAGGTGGAGGCGGCGCGCCAGCGCGCGGAGCGTGCGGAGCGGCTCGGAGGCGTCCAGGACGCGCGAGTGTCGGCGGCAGAAGAGAAGGTAGAGACGGCGGATGTCTCGGAAAGGTCGGCACCAAACTGGGACACCTGCGTCGTTTGCCTTGAGCCTACCAGCGGGTGTGGAAAGAAAGAGTTGAACCAACTGTTGCAATCTCCAAGTGATGGCAACGTGGCAGAAACATGGGTGCAGCTGGTGAACTGTCGGCACTGTTTCCACACAGCCTGCATCGCTGATGCTGTCCGGGCCAGCCTCAAAGCCGACCGAGCTCTGCGACACGCAGCCTGCCCCGTCTGCAGGGCCTCGGTTGTCTTCGACTTCCAGGCCTGAGGGACCCTCCATGGGATAAAGGATGATAAAGGTAAGGCGGGTAGGACTTACATGGGCTTAGAGCGCCAAGAGCAGCCACCTGTCCCTTCACGCAGGCGAGGTCCGCTTTGAGCCGACGGCGGAGGAAGCGGCGTATGTCCTTCGCGGGGTACCCGGCCACGATCAGAAATCCGGAAAACCGGCAGCGCCATGGTCGTCAAGGCCGCGATGACCGCAATGACCGTGATGATCGTGATCACGAGCGGGTGAACACAGCAGCCCTTCCGCTAAGGAACCGAGCATATCAAGCCCGGCGGGTATGAACGGAAGCTCTGGAAGCGGCGGTCAGGATTTTGACCTAGCCGCGGCGAAGGGCATCTCAATGTGTGGTGCAGATGCTGGGCCATTCGGAGTCCGCAGAGTGGCAGGCCTAAGTGAAGCTAGCAAAAGGGGAACTGACCCCAAATGAAGAATGTACAGTGTACAGGGTCTCGCATGGCCGCTTCACAAAGGTTGCCAGATCGCAGGGACAGACAAGAGATCACTTGGTTCCCTAAGCTGTTTTGGAGATTCGGAGCTGTTCTACCACGGGTAGCTGCATCCCAGGAAGTTGAAGATGTCTGCTCCTCAAGAAGAGAACCCGAAACTCTCTTCCGACTTTGAATGCCGAAGCTCATCAGCATCAGTCTGCTAATCCTGACCCTTACTTACATGAATCCTCGTTATAAAACCTCGCCCATTTCGTAGTGGTCGGGGTCGCCGTTGTCGCCTTTGTCGGTTCTCCGATCTTGGGTGGCTCGTCTTCCTATGTCATCCAGGAGCTCAAGCTTTGCGGCGCGGATGCCCTTGTGGTGAAAGACCCAGTGGCGCTTCTGATGCGTCGTGGCGGAGCATGTTTGTACCCCTTCCACATTTCTCCTCCCGTAGGGCATGGCCACATTGTACTGTAGCAAGAGCTGGCTTGAGGCCGCGACGACACCAACGCCACCGCAGATTTTAGGTTTGGCACGATTCCCAGCTCTGGGCACCAGGGACAGTTTGCAAGTCGTTTCGTTGGAGTATCAAAGCCGCCGAAGTACGACTGCAGGCTGCTGAAGCCAAACAGCGGGCAGAGGCAATTGCCGAGGTGGAATCGGAGTAGGTTCGCGCAGGACCATGGATCCATGTGAATTCTTGCTGGAGGTGGAGCAAGCACTCCGTCCGATCCCATCCACCAACTCCAGTGCCAAGTTTCAAGTTGCTGTAAGATTTGGGCACCGCTGATGGGCACATGCCACAATGCAGTTGAGCACAGGTACTATGCGCAGGTCTACCACACCAAGAGGCCACACTCCTCACTATTACCGTGGTGCATCATGATCGTTGAGTCGTGATAACATCTCGTCAGTGTAGCTCCAGTTAGGGCAGAGTTTTGCGAGGTGATGCTGGGGGCGGGGCATCACCTGCAGGGCCGTCTCAGCCACAGGCAGGGGCACCCGCTGAGCCAGGTCTCTTTGCCGCATCGGGGGACTTTGGGCCAGCTACTGCACAAAGCTTCAACAAGTCTGATAGTCTTGTCTTGAAGATTTCTCGGATGCTCCTGGACCCGCGTGTATCGCTCGCTCCCGCTTCAGCTCGACACGACCGGCATGGTCAGAGAACGCATAGGCTTGGATAAGTTGCGACAAAGCACCGATATGTCCGACAGTGGGTGACATGTGCCCACCACCGGTGAGCTTCTCAGTGGAGCTCTTGACAGGCAAAGCCGGCAAGTGCAGCATGTAATTTGCCCAAGCACTGAGCACCTTTTCACGTTGATGACGATCAACCAAGAACCTGACCTGGCCGACCCCAGTGGAAGTGTAAAGCCAGGTATGGCCAACCCGACTGACATAAACGGACTGCCAACACACGCCCTGACTTTCCTCCAGTCGTCTCATGCGGCACGCCCCGGCCTGCTGTTTTGATACATTCAGAGATGACGATCCACGCTCTTCGCCGGCTGTTGCTGACCCTTGACAGAGGGCGGCAGAAATGCCTTGCAGCTTGGCCGACATGTCTGTTTGTTTGCGGGCCAGACAAAGCATTGCGAGCCGGCAGCCGGTAAACATCGGGATGACACGCATCTTCTGTAGCATCGACCTTCTTGGCTTTTGCATAAGATTTGCATCCCGAGATGTCCTTAGGCATCCTCTTTTCTGAAGCGCCGCAGCTCCCGGGCCGCAGTGTGCACTCACTGTCGCTTCTGCCAAGCTACTCCAGGGTTTTCCACATCATTCCACATCGCAGCATTGGCAACCAGAGTAAGCTTACAGTGCCCTTTGCATCCTGAGCGGAAGTGTAGAGAGTCTTCATTGTAAGGTGTCACCGCACTTCCGCGCTATGGCAGTTATAGCCTACCAGCCAGATCGATCTGTTCGTTGGCCTAAATACACAGTAAACTCAGTGAACTACTCTCTTCTGCTTGTGCCTCCGGGATGTAGGTTGATGCAGGTTGCACTGGCCGTGCTCGCTTTTGAGTGATCGTAGTTCGAAGGCCGAAACCAAACTGTCTCGCCGCGGCTCCATGCAAGGATGCTGCCGTCGGCGGCCGGCTGCTCTGCGAATCACCTCACCCCTCCGGGGCGCAGCGGACAAGGCTTGCTTTCCGTTCAGGGATGCACGACAAGAGCCTTGTGCGGAAGAACAGGCGCTCTGGAATCATGTGGGTCTTGTTGGCGGTGTTTTCCTGTCGCTAGCATGCTGAATAGGACAGGACCCCCGGACCGCCCAACGGACAGTGGCTGGTAGCCACCAATCCAGTCAGCTTAGCCCGCCGCATACCACCGCGTTCGGCGGTGGTATGCCACTCCGGGCGGTGTCCCGATGGTCCCCCAGGCATAACAGGTTCGTGTTCAACTTCTTTGTGATTGTGTCGGTGTTTCTCACCCGGGCGGTGGCATCCCTTCGGCTTGCGATCAACGTCGCGGCAGGTTTTCACGACGATGGTATCCTGACCCGACGGTTCGCAGTCAACTTCTTGCTGGGGGGGCTTGCACACCGTGGTGGTGTGTCGGTGGTAACTAAGGGTATCTCCACGGTTGGCAGTCAACTTTCTCGTTCCCGATCCCCAGGTCAGTATGCTTCCCCCCTCCCTCCCTCCCTCCCTTCCTGCATGGAGCCATGCCATCTTGAGCTGCGAGGAAGCGCTGCCCATGTCGCAGGCACCCTGCGGCGGGGAAATTTACATTTGGGAGTGGTGAGTCTAGTTCCTGGTAGATGAATGATTGCTCGACGCGTCTTGAGAGGCAGACGGCACAGAGGCCTGGTACGGCCACTGCCCCTGTTGCAAGCGACCGCTGGCGCTTTCTGGGTCAGTCCCCAGGGGCCCGAGGCAGCGGACAAGCTTGGGGATATATCCGATGGTCGCCCCACTCCGGTTCATGTTGTGACCATGAGGGAGCCCTTGCCGGCTGCCCGGGGCCGGTTTGCCTACGTCATCAACTTGCGGCTGGGCGAGGGATCTCCGGGTTTGGATTGAGCTGAAGCTTTGGCTGGAGGAGGACGTGAGGGCATTGTCCCCGTGACAGCGTGTGACAACGCAAACACCGCACAACCCCTCTTGATCGAGAGAGTGAGCGTCATCCTCGCCTGGCAAGATGTGTTGACTGCAAGCATTGTTGTAGCCGGTCGGTATCACCTCGGTGTTACAATGATGCGATGAAGGTAACTTTCCTCTTGCGAACCCGAACAGCCTCGCCTGAAGTTCCGTGTTGTGAGCATCCAAACATGTCCCATACGACGACCCCAGCCCATAGGGGAGTGCGAGTGTCAAACAAAGCCTCTTTTCAGGTGGGGCAAGTCCAGCGAGTATGTGCTTGGCGCTCTCGTGCTGGGGCACTCGATCAAGCGGAGTGGCTCCAAGCACGCGTTGGTTTGTCTCTATGCCGATGACGTGCCTCCGTCTTGTGTGCTTCTATTGTCCAGAATTTGGGACTGCCGGCCCGTGCAGCATATCGCGGTGGCGGCCGACAAGCTCGGAAACTCCTCTCCAGGACATCGCTTCGCAAAGGTCTTCACGAAGCTGCGTTCCCTGGAGCTGGTTGAGTTTGAAAAAATTCTCGTGCTTGACATCGACATTTACGTGCGCCTGCGCTGCACATGGGTCCCGATTGACAAGCAATCCAGACCTGAGTCAAGTAAGTCACTGATGCATGTTCACAAGGCGCGGCAATGTCGATGATCTTTTTCAGTTACAAGCACCCGCTGCTATGCGACGAGGGATACACGGATGGAAAGCGCTGAAGACAGGCCACCGCACTTTCTCATGTTTGATGCATTGGCGCACACTGGCGACCCAAGCCCGAAGCGAAGAGCTGCTCCAGGAGATAGCCTGGATGGGCGAGACTTCTTCATGGGTAGTGATTACAGCGGCTGGTCCTGGGGCCAGGGAACAGGCGAGTGAACATTGCAGAGTGTTTGTCCTTTTGCTTGCATCTTTAGAGAGGCATAAATGCCGGAGTTATGCTCCTACAACCTGACCTCGACGTTTTTCACGAGATGCTTGGTGAACTCTCAGATCCACATCATCCGGAGCGGCTTCCGTGGCAGTTAGCAAGCTTTCTTCGTCACGCCTGGTCTCCATGAAGTTCATAGGCCTCAGGCATCGAAGTATCTGTCTGCACGAAGGCACTGTGTGGGCAATGGCCCTGAGCAGGACTTATGCACTGCCAGTCACCAGTACATATGCAGGTTTGGCATCGGTTTGTTTGGATGACTTGGGCCTGGGAGTTTCCCGCAAAGGCACCGATAGATCGAATCCCGTTGCTTACAATGGAGGACTATTTGAGCAGATTCTGGGCAGATGCTCCCTGGCGACACATCGGTGTAGAATATAACTTTCAAATCCACCAGATGTTTCTGGCCCTCCATCCCGACCGCGTGCCGCGCTCAGCTTCGTCGCCGAGTAATGCCCACATCTTCCCCGTGTTCTTGGCCTGAGCGGCCTGTTCTGCAGTCTAGACTGGAGGTGGCGAGCGCACACCGGATACGGCTGCTGGAGGCAGGCTTTGGGGTTGTGCTCGCGCTTGCTTTGAATTGAATTGCATTGCAGTTGCCTGGTGTGCCTTCGGACATATGGCAGGCGATGCTACAGAAGTAGCTGACAATGGCTAGTAGCAGCTACTGGGGTAGTTCCAAGTTGTTGCCGGCATGAGCATCTGGATCTCCTGGGCATGGGTTGGGATTGATCAGCACTAGAGTCACTAGAGCTGCTCGCCCATGCCTGTGCCGTATTGACCCGTAACTTGATCATCTGCCTCTGTGAGAGATTGCTTGACTGCACCTAGGGACAAGACCAGGGAGGAGACTTTCGCTTGCGTCCGAAGGAGCAGAGCCAAATCAAGATAGTGCACTTCTCGGGTGATGCCAGTCCCTCAGGGTTTCGTGCAGTTTGAGTTTGATGGCATCTCGCGATGTGGAGTCAGTGCTGCATCAAACCACCTGCGACAGATATACTTGAGAGTTGCAGCTGTCGGGGCTTCAACCTTGACCTTGTCCTAGATGGGTTATATGGTCTTCATCACTCATATATATATATATTATATCATCGTATATAGTGAGAAATAGTACAAAATATACTAATTTACTCGTACATAATATGTGCTGAGGACAGGGCAAAGCCTTGGCGACGCATTCTCGACGAAAGCTTGAGCGGCTACTGGCCGGTGGCTCGTCGTCTCGCAACAGGTTTTGCCGCATCGCAGCCCGAGCCCCCTAGGTTCAGGGAAGGGTTCAGGGTGTAGGCTTCACGTGCTCCAGGACAGGGCCAAGGATGAGGCCTTCCTGTCTCTCTTCTTCCAAGAGTTTCAGGGCTACTTGCTCTGGGTGAAGCGGGACCTTGAATCTTGGCAAATCGGTGAAGGCGCCCGCCCTGAAGCGAAGCCTTACGAATTCATGATTGAACTCTATTGAATTGATGTCCGCTCAGAGGATTGCCACCAAGTGCTGGGGCGGGGGTCTCTTTTGTGCAGCCTTACAACTTCCTTCTGCGTCGGCAGAAGCTTGAGGAATGGCTGAAGTCCGCCAAAGAGGACCCGCATCGCGGATGGGAGTACGCCGACCTTCAGATCAGCGACGGGCACATGTATAGGTGGCTCATTCGAACCGGAAAGTTCGGCCGCCGTGAAAGTTCGCGCTTCAGGCAGCCTGCCGATGGCGATGCCTCTGCTGTTTGTGTGACGCTGTCCCCGGAGGCCATCAAAGAATCACCGCGCGTGTTCTGTACGAGCACAGTACTCGTCACTCCATTCGCAGCTTGCTCCGCTGTGGCGAGGTTGAAAAGGCGGTGGATGGTTTTGTCCGCACCGTTCTTAATGCAGCTCTGCTTGACAGGGCCGGTTGAAATGGTGGGCAGCACGCCCCTGTCGTGCTTGTGCAGAGTGCAGTTTCAGATGTGCTGCGCAAGGCAGTTTCCATTGAGCATGACGGGGTGCACGAAATGCCCAGGAGTGGTTCGAAGCCCTCGGGGAGTTGGAGGCGGATTTGGGCTTGAACCTCCAGCAGGAGTTGCCAAGGCTTCCATGCCAAGCGCTCTCGTGTCGATCACTTGCGACAACCACCCCACACTTGGACTGTCTTAGCAGGTGCTTGAAAGCCGCCGAGCTGGCAGAGGGAGCAGAAGGCGCTTTTGGCGGAATGAGGATCAATAGCCGGATAGCCTAGGCCTAGCCTAAGCATTTGCTGTTTACCTTGCTGTGCCGTGACCCTGAGGTCAGCCTGCTGCCGAACCCCCGATCACTTTTGCACGTGATAGCTTGTTCACCTGGAAGCGAGATGCAGGGTGGTGGACGGAGGACGACCGGGAAGAGCCGCGCAAGACCCTGGAGCAAGCCCTACCTAATGTAAGCATTGTGCTGGAAGGATTGGCCTGCAGAGCCCTGCTTCAAAGCTACGGCCGCTGACACGCACCAATGCATGAAAGGCTGTCAGGTTGCAGATATTTTGAGTCACAATCGAATAGAACATGTATATCAGCAGTGTTCCGTAGCCACAGTGTCGATGCTGAATGAGGTGTTGTGCAGTGCTGCCGATGCCGCGATCTTTGTAACATTTCTTGAGGAGTGGGCGATCCGTGTCAGGGTTCGATGGATGTAACACACGATCATGCATGTTCGTTCTGTGAAGCCAGGCCAGACGGAAGATCATGTTCCAAGACTTGCTTTGGGGGACAGCTAGTAAAGCAGAATGCTTTGGGGGTTGGTTGTAGTCAGTGGCTCTGAACTTTCAGCAGCCGCTTGGCAGAAAGGACGGCGTGGCGACTTTGTGCGCTTGTCCAGAGAATGCCTCAGGCTCCTGCGACACGCATTCCGTTGCATGGTACAAGAGGGCTGGCCAGGAAATGAGTCAGGGTCTCGGAGTTACTTACAGTAAAGCTTTGGCTCAAGATAAAATGCGCAGCTGCCTAGAAATGGCACCCCCCCCTCTCAGCTTCCACACTCAGCTGGGTCCAGGCGTCTTCGCGAAGGTTGCAGGCGAGGACAGGGTGGAGGCAGAGGCGGCAGTGGTGGCCGCTTGGGCAGAAACCTTGGCACCAGGCACCTGGGCGGAGCAGAGGGGACTTCACAGGCCATCCATTTTCCTCGAGGGCTAACTTACTCCGGGTTGCAGGCACGCCGCTGATGTTGGCGGTCTTCGGATCTGATGCTGGGCTGCTTCAGGCCTCTTGTCAAGACCCACAAATACAAGGATCCCTTATAGTAACCCGCACAGCAACTCTTATAGTAGTAACAGGAGGTAATATACATAGTATATAACATAGTACGTATGTATGTATATGTATATGTATATATATATATAACATATATATATAACATATGCATATATATACAATATAATATAATATAATATAATATAATATAATATATTATAATATAATACAATAATATATATATATATATATAATAGGTTGTAGAACCCTTTCAGTATCCTTTTGAGGCTTTGGCTCCTTTGGGCCTTCCACCGCCTCGGGGTCCATGCAGAGCCTTTGCCGCTGTTGGCCAAGCAAAGTCTTCTTGGGTGACGCATGCATCCTGGGATCCTGAGCGGCATTCGGCAGATGTTCATGGCTTTTGAGGGTAAAAATTGAAGCAAGAAAAGACTATCCTCCTAAGTTTTGGATGTAGAGCTGGCTCTGTGGATCTATCTCAGGATGCTGCCTATGTCTCGGTCCCCTTGCGCAGAACATGACGTGCTTGCGCGAGACTGCGCGAGCACTTGCGGTGGAAAAAAGTGTGAACGAGCTGCCCGGAGCTTCTGAGGCCGACATCACCAAGCCTCTCTGCCTCTCGGTCTGTTGCCTCCCGTCCCGCTCCTCTCCTTCCGCTCTTTTGCCACTATCTCGGCGTCTTTCTTTCTATTTCTGCAGCCTCTTTTTTTTCTCTCCGCAGGTTTGGGGTTGCGAAGTCAGTACACAATGCAGATCATGCGTATGTGAACTTTAACCACTGAGCGGTGATGCAACAAGTCAGGCCAGGACGACTGAACCTGCCGTCATGCCATGCCCCCCTGTAAGAAAGTTGCAAGGCTTGTTGCACGTCGCCATGTCTAATTACACAGACACACATGTTTCGCGCATCTGGGGCTGCAGCCTGCAGCAGTGATGGGTCGACTCTGGTGGGGAGCGGGGGGCTCCGCCATGGGTAGCTGCACATGGAGGGCAGACCGAAGCACTCTAGTCGCAGTTTGCCCTGGGAAGCAAGGTAGCAGGAGCAGAGCATCTAGACTATCCACCAAGCAAAAAGCACAACAGCAGAGGGAGATGCCTGACCAAGTGCATTGCAGACCGAATGCTCCACCCGCGTGCAACATGTGGGAAGCTTGACTGCGTACCTGCCTCCCCCTTGGGGAGCAGATGCACGTGCCCAGTTACACCAGTACTACCAGTAGCAGGTGCACATGACGCCCTGATTGAGGGTCGGGAAGAAGCCTACCTTCAGGCCACTCGGCGCTCGACTTCCCTGCGTGGGCCAAGCCCACGGCGAGGCGCTAGTTTCTTCAGAGTCTGTTGAAGCTTTGGAGCAGATAGCGGTTTGGGGCTCAGTTTCACCATTCCTAGGGTGAGGTTTATACATAATTCTGAATTGTGCCGTGTGCAGAGTATGTATTGCCTGGCTGCAGTGTCACGCTAAGGTTGTGAAGGTCGAGGTTTCTGTTTCCGCCGCAGCTAAGTGCTCCAGGCTGACCCGAAAGCCTTGGTACGGATGTCGGGAGGTATCCTGTCACAAGCAGAAACAGCCACAGGCGTACTGCAAGCGAAGACTGCCTTACATGACACTACCTTGCATCACATTACAGTATTTACAGCTCCATGCAGCACTTGTTGCGGATCTTACTGGATCTGTACCTGGTCGTTTGCATCGCATTCGCTGACCTCGATGCCCGGCGGAAGTGTCCATGTTCCAAGTAGTAGAAACACTACATCGCCCTGCGATCATGAAACACTGTAGGAGACCTTAGCCATGCAGGCCGTCTACGAGCGGCTCAGTTGAGAACCCCCGAGCTTGTAGGCTCCAGACGTGCAAGGCTCGGGCCTTCCCGCTTGATAGAAAGTTTCGAAGAACTGCTGGCACTTTGCCAACCACTTGCATCCTGCTGAGATGGAGGAAAACTTCCTTCAGGCCTGCAGCATATGGGCTTCTTGCGTGCAGGGCTGTGGATGCTATGGATTGCTCTGGGGAAACCGCGGCCAATAGGGCCAATTTCAGGTAATTAAAGCTGATCAGTAGGAGGATAGATGTGGGGACATGTCTTCAAAGCGTACTTCCTTGTGCTCTTGATTCTGCCCCCAATCTTCGTCACTGTTAGTAGGTCACGTACAGATTCCAGGTATATCCATACGCATACTGAGAATGACGAATGCCGCGAACAACAAGCAGCATGATCGTTTCACCCAGTGCCACCTGAAGTCCTCCGAGGAGCGCGAGCTTTACAACCAGGCTCGGGAGAGCGCGCGCCTTGCAAAGGTCGAGGCCACTCCCAAGGCCCTCTTGGAGACTGGGCCCTTTTAAAAAAAGAGCTTCATTTTTTTGGGTCAAAGGGGCTTTACGCGGATCTTGCAGGGCTTCATAATTCTTGTAGGGGGTCCTTAGGATTGGGACCTCCTGTTATTGCTGTTCTTTTTGCTGTATCCATACTATAAGTACAAACACGCATGTATGTTAGGTTGTGGGTTTCAGGCCTTCAGCCGTCTAGGGTTTTGGGCGTCTACGGCGGCAATGTAATGTTAGGCTTTACGTGGTTTTAGATTTGGTATCGCTGCTGCAGTGCGCTCAGTGTTTGTCTCACTTGCAGGTAGCGCTGGCCAATCAAATGACACGGCTGTACTACAGAAGCACACGCACAGACGGACATGTATATGTATAAAAACCCATACATTCACCTTCGCATATACATATACGTTTACATATTCACACAGAGACAGCCAGACAGACACGCTTTTGTGATGTGTGTGTGTGTACGTATATGTTTGCGATCCCACACGTCGTCCCACCTTCCCTCCCCTCCAATTGCTGGTAATGTCACTGTATCGGTGAGTCGGTAGGTCGGAAGGTAGGTCGGTCTGTAGGTAGGTGAGGTGACGTGAGGCTAGCTTAGGTAGGTAGGCGATTGCTTGGTAAGCAACTCGGCAGATAGCTTCGACTTGGCTTTCGCAAATTGACCATCTTACGTCTGACTTCTGATATCTCAAGTTGGGTGCGCATCGCATGTTGCATCCTTGTTGCTGTGAGCTGTTCGGAGCACGCTCTCTCGCGCCACACCCGTCGGCCTCGGTATGGGTTCAAAAATGGTAGGTACGCGTCGGCAGGAAAGATGCTTGTATGCTTGTATGATGTATGCCAGTCTGACTGTTTATTCGGACAGGCATGCACATGCATGCATGTATGTAGTTGTATGTATGTAAATGACTGTGTGTTTGGACGATTTATCTCTGCATGTATGTCTGTGTGTACATGTATTGCTTACATAGAGACACATGCACACGCGCGCAGGCGCGCAGGCACACGCGGACAGGCACACGCGGACAGACGCACACAGACAGACAGACAGACAGACAGACAGGCAGGCAGGCAGGCAGGCAGGCAGGCAGACAGACAGACGGACGGACAGACAGACAGACAGACAGACAGACAGACAGACACACACAGAGACACACACACACCCCCACGCACACCCCCACGCGCACGCACGCACGCACGCACGCACGCACGCACGCACGCACGCACGCACGCCCGCCCGCCCGCCCGC